TAACTAAATACCTATTCTATCTACGCATACGAAATTGAAGCATATATATTAGGATTGTAAATAGTATATAATGATAAAAGTGAAGGATAACATCCACCAAGCCCCAACGACCCCAGTATCCAAAATTTAATATACATATTTAGACTTATACTAAATCTTAACTAAATACCTACTCTATCTACGCATACGAAATAATATAATAAAGTATATATATAAGAATTGTAAATAGTATATAATGATAATATTTACAATCCTTATTATATATACGTCAATATTTCCCGATTACATCGCGTACGTATGGTGTAACGGTGTCAAATAAACAATTTACTGGTGTTTCCTGTAGCTCAGCTGTATATGGGTTATCAGATAAACATTAGGGCGTGGCTTTATCATCGGAATTCGATTACTATCATTCTGTTGATCCTTTCGTTAAGAAATTGGCATTTATACAATGCAGTCATCGTTATTAAAAGTCAAAACTACTTTGCCCCGATAGTAAGTTACTAACAATTATGACATGATGATCTTCCCGTAAAACAGACGAGAAGAACTGGCAAGAAACTCTGTGCCAATTTTTAATCGCCAACTTTTTTGTGCTTGTAGGAGCTCCATGTTCGGACGTAAGACCCCACGGTTAAGAATCCCGTTTTAACACTATTAGTCTACTTGTACTATGTATTTGCGTGTTGTTCCCACGAGAATGTAAGTGCGTGCTCCTATTTCACCATGCCTCCTGCTGGTAGAGGACAAATATTTGTTTTTAATTTATTTTATTATTATTTATTACTTAAGATGTCACGTGGACCATGGTGTAATGGTTGCAGCTCCTTTACAAACGTTGTGTAAAACAAAAAAATAAAATCAAAAAGAGTGGCGGAGAGTTTATTGCCAGTTCTTCTCTTCCGTTCTACGCCATTGATTTGAGAACTGGCAGTAAATGTAAAATTAGAAGCATTTAATGTATATTTATTTTTTGACGTTCATAAGTATACATTGTGTTACCTATATGAATGAATGATTTTTGACTTTAACTTTGACAATGCTCCTACTTAATAACATACGTATGCATACTGAATTTATAATCTAAAGTCGTATATTTCCCCTCTGCGTAAGTCAGCAACTGACTGTTTAAAAACCGAACCGGCCACGCGTCACTTCCTCACGCGACGCGGAACCCGGAACACTTTATAACGGTTTAAACGGGCTATTCCTATCCATTTGTGAACCTCCTGTTAGTTCTGGGTGTGGTCGAATACTGTCTAAGTAAAACGAAGCAGTCGACTTGACACTCCTTGTGCAACTATTATATGTCTCAGACTTAGTTTTTGAACCTTCAAAACGGAATCTAACAGGAATGAGAGTAAGTGAAAAGAAAAGAGACTTAAACTAAAAAGCACGTCAGTAATAAAGAAACCATAGCTTTTTCTTTTAATACATTTTAAGAATTTTTTAATGATGAAAATTAATTGACTGTAATTTTTGAAACATTTATAGATTACAGTCGCGAATATCAACTATAATCATTCGTTTTGAACGTAGAATTGCCATTAATATCAAAAAGCAATAAACATTATCATTTGGCAAAAGTCTTATCATTCACAAGCAGCCAGTGTAAATATTTTACATTTCCTTACGTAATCAGCAAACGATAACGACTACACGAATAACGACCACATAAAATCCACATAATGGAGGATAGTTAAGTACATAGCGAAGATAATAAACTAAATTACCAGTGATATATGCATTATTGTCTAGTGATAATTCTTCCCTTCTTTCTAGTTATAATATAAAGATGTGTTATGCGCAGGACCTCTGTTCCATAGATACTCTCTCACTACAAGCATGTTGCATTCGTTAGTCACTGTAGCTCTTAAAACTGCTTAAAACATGTGTATGTGATTTTTGAGAATTTCTCTTCTGCCTCGTAATTAGCTAGTTATATATATATATAATAATTATGACTCTACCCTAAGATTAGCATTTACTTTTTTATTATATTTATTTTTTAATTTAGTTTCGTTTAGTAATTAGTTGCATGTAATTTTATGTTTGTTTGTTAATTACTTATTTCACTTTTTGTACTATACCCTCAGTAGGTACCTTTTTATACTAGGGTTGCCTGGAAGAAACCGCTTGTTTGCGATAAGGCCGACCGTTGCCTAATAACTTAAGTAACCTGTTTTTTACATGTATAAGGTAACGAATAAATAAATAATAATAAAGCAATGTTATACTTTTGATATTTTTTTATAATATACTCTGTAATTAAATTTTATTTTGTGTATGTATTTTTGTGTGAGAGAAAACAAATAAATATTTTTTTATAATATACATTTTCAAGTTCAATAGTTTAGAAGAAGTTAGAATCAAACATGCATATGACAGATTTTACTTTTTTTGTACATCAGTATGACATTATAGTGCAGTCAAATTAAAACCATTGCTGACCGTTGGAAATAGGACACGGCTCGTTAATGCTGTATAAGCGAGATTTACACTGACTTTATTTCTGCACAGCTATTATACTATTTTACTGGGAAATGCTTGTTTACATTATACTGATATTTAACATATTGTGGGGAAAGGTATATATTTAGATCTGTTTTGCTTCCTTATGAACATAGTTAGGGTAAATATTACGAAATAACGCCGACACGAAGTTTTATAAATACGCATTCAACTCAACTCAATATAAATAACATGATCTTAGCAAATTATTACTATGTAAATATATTATGATATTATATACTTGCAGATAATACAACGCTTTTAGACATAGCTAAAACATATACCATTTGTTATAACAGTGATATCCATTACTAAGATGTTACAAGTTATTTGTTAGTTAGTTTAACATATTAGACAATTATATATTATATACATCACACTTTAACATCGGCATATGGGTCCTTCTTGGTCACACAAACAAAGCAGCAACGATATTTTAAAAGAACACCCATTACCGCTTCCGCCTATACAGTACTTCCGCTATACGAAATGACATCATCAAGTATTCGGACGGGCAATGTAAACATGATATAATAGCAATGTCTACGGCAAACACTATTGAAGTTCGCAAATATAAATGAAGCATGTAATCCCGAAACTATATAACGAAACGAAATTAACATTATATAATAATCAAAGAGGTTACACACTCCATAACCATTACTAAGCGTTTTTATCCTTTGGACGATTTTGAAATCTAAAAACCATATAGAGTACAATTCTCGCGCGAAGTGGCGCAGATATCTTTTTAACCCCATGCCCCACATATTTTATTACAGCGAGTGCAGCCACGGGCGTATGGATGATACGGCATTATGGCCATAATATGTAATGATGTAAACAGAGTTACATAAGGCGAATTGACCTGAATGACGCACTCAGGCTGGGCGTAGCAACTGGTTTGAAAAATGTTGGACCTGCTACTATAATACATTTGTGCTATAAATAGTAATACATTAGATAAAGTAGTTCTTGGAAATGAACTCTTATTTTCAAAGTGCACTTTTGAAATTGGAATCAGACTCGCTTTTCGCTTTGCTAAATGCCATTGAAGCTCGGCTATGACAATACACTTAATACTTACAATTACTGAAAATACCACTACAATCGTAGCTTTATTTATTAATAGAACAAAAGAGTCATGACGGGTCCAATGCCCGTTTCTCGTATCTTCAGAAGTGATCAAAACCATGTTAACAACATAATTAAAGTCTATCAACGGTAAACAATAGATTTTATAGAGTAACGAATGACGGCAAATACATTCTATTACTAACCGAGGATCAAAGGTACTCTCAGCCCGGAAATTAAACTTACACGCTCCATTTACGTCACTAATTACAACACGTGCCCCAGTTTAAGTCCTTTAAGTACCTCCCATCTAATCTACCCGTTTCTCAACACGTTTTCGTTGTTTTGCTTAAATTAAAATTATAGTAATCGTCTATCGTCATTAGCTAGTTAGCTTTTTGCAAAAAATAAGATTTTAATAATGAAAATTTGTATATAAACAAATTGGTATTTGGCGCCTTGTATTAAATATCCATAATTAAGAGATTAAAATGATAACAATAAACAGAAACATCCCACGAACTTACGCAGGCTTTCTTATTAACAAGGTACATTACTAGGTCCACTACTCTTCCCGAGCCACAAAACCGTCAACTTGCGTACATTAACAAATCGCTCGCAATATATCATTATCACAAATTAGTGGACAGGATGACACGCATATATCTTAATACACGAGTGCTTAAGGCGCAGAGTCGGGTTCAGACGGGGCGACGATAGATGCGCCGCAGATTCCAGGAGATAAAGTAAATATAAACATTCGCACATTCCTCTGGCACCAGACTGTGACTCGTATTAAAAAGAAAAAATAAATTCTTGCTGGACACTATATATAAAAGTACACAGTTTAAAGATAAACACAAGAGTTTAAAGCAATTATTACAGATTTGATTGTTGATAATAATAAAACATAGATATTTTTGCATTATCTATGAATCAATATGATTAGTAACTAGTTGATGAATGTATTGGGCTAATAGGTACATTGTTTCTAGCGCTAGCTAGACGTCAGGTAACGGGAAATTCAATAAAAATCTAGCGTCTGTTGGTCGAAGAGCTTGGGGAGTGGGGAGTGATGCTTCCTCTTTGCTAGACAATCGCACAAGGTCGTCACTTGTTGAACGAAGGTCGAAAAGCAAAATTACCAATTTGGGCTCGTGCTGCATATAATCATAACGAAATCGAGGTCATTTTGCAAACGTAATTGTGTAATAAATCATTTAGCACATATAGGCAAAGTATATTTTGCAAGTAGAACACAAACACGATAAAATCAAATTTAATTAAAAGATATAGGTTATTTTAATTACGAATCTATTTTTCAAATAACGTTTTCATTTGTGTACACGGCAATCTAAAATCTCTCCATACCGACAAATGGTGCTCAGCATTTGTCGATCTCAAACGGTGAAGTGTATTCAGTGCTTCCCAAGTGATTCGCCCGCAGCATCCTCATTACTGTAACGCATAGCTTGCTGACTCGTCGGTAACAAATGACTATATGACAGTTCATCTGTTAGCAAGATATTAATATATGAAAAAGTAGAATGCTTAGAATACTAAATGACGAAGAAAATGTTAAGTAAAGGAACTTGTAGAATACAAGGATTCTGACGTAATTAATTTATACATATTTACAATATCCCAGTGGTGCTATAACCCTATCTGAGACTTGGGCCGACATTGCATCTGTTTCTTTGAACATATTTATTTCATAGATAAATAAATGATCAGGCTTCTATCTGACATAAGTCGCCGATTTTTGGACATGCCGGTTTCCTTACGATGTTTTCATTCACCGTCCGAACGAGTGTTATATTCCCACATAGACAGAAAATCCATAGGCCGAGTATCGAACCTACAACCTCAAGGAGAGTCGCACGCTAAAGCTACTAAACTACTTCATACTTCATTTCACTTTTCAATATGCTATTCATATTTAAAATATGGTTATTTCACCAATACTTACACTCATATAAAAACCAGTAATGTTTTAAGAATGTTTTTATTGAAATAATAGTTTAATCAATATGCTATAAATCAAGAAGTTCATAAAACAAGCATTGAGTACCGATAAACATTCAAAGTGGCTTCGATATAAATAACTGGCTGATTATCTGATGCACTTGACATATATAAACGTTATTTAATTGTATTGTTTTCAAGAATTCTGATTATTAAAACCAATTAACAATTTATAAAATTTTCTTATGATTAACAGATTTTAAAATGGTTTACAAATCTCGTGTTCCCAAGTACTTTAGCCAGGCATGATGAAAAAAAAGTATTAGGAATTACGTAAATCAGCAAAGATATATGAGTGAATGATTATATTTTAATGCAAATTGTTCAACCAATTACTGACAAAAATAACGCGTGTACAAAACTCGTGCATGTTAAGTGTCACCTGATAACGTAATGTATAAATAATCATTTCAAAAATGGACTAAAAAAATATTAATTACATTATATGGGATAAAATGGCCTTTATAAAATAATAAAGTCGGATTCATAAAATCTTTAACGCATGGCACTTAAACAATGTCCAGAGAATTCTTTAATAACAATATTAGCTATTGACCACGTATATGTTCGGTATATGTAAAAGAAACTTACATATAAGTTTCGATTCAAATCATTAACATGTTGTCAAGTAAAATACTTCTTGAAAACTGGGAATATCTCAAAAATTACTTGCTATGAAAGTTTCTATAAAATTTTGTAGTATTTTCTTAAATTGTATGAAACGGAACTGAATGTGTAATCTTGCAGTGATGTCATTGATAAACAAAACATGCAAAGATTACAAGGCAACTTTATAGATATCGCTTATAAAATGTTGATAAGTGAATTCTTGGTATAACAAAATATAATAATTTGCGCTACGGGTGCAATCTAGACCAGCTTTAGACGATATGTTCTTCTTAAAATACAAAATTTTTACTTGTTGAGATGTAAAAGTAAAGTTTTTAAAAATATTTAAATTTTACGTAACTTTCAAACTAATCTGAACGTGTAAAACAATCCCTTGTATTACCAAATTCAAACCGACTCGACACTTGTTTCGCAATAGCTTAATTCGCTGTCGTGTTGATTCAATTCAAAACAATCTTTATTTCCACTGCCTAAGAAGCATTACTTCATCTGTTTACTCAGTAAATGTTTAAAACATGTGAATCGGACCTTTCATTATTTGGGATTGTTAAGAGCGAGAAGTATAACTATGCCGCAATCATATGACAAGTCAATGTCGATATTTTATCACAAATGAGATACTCAAGTAAGTTTATCTTGCACGTTTTGAACAATGTCGAAATAATTCACTAAACCTGTTTCGTAGTTTTTTACAACTCTACCAATAAACAAAAACAAATAGATTATGAATTTATAGTTTCGTTGTTAACATTGACTGCGACGTCATGTAAAAAAGACAACGTTTTTAAAAAGTTTTTAAATATTGCCACCAAACAAAAGCTCCGTCAGGAAAGCAAAGTCGTCAGCTTTTTGAACTCATAAAAAGCTCACACAGCTGGGAGGCCATTCGGAACAAATTCTTAGAAAGCAGGACATATCTTCCTCTCGCTAAACATAGAATGGAACTCCGACCCTAATCTAATTATAACCCTCGGAACCCTCTCATTAGATCTTCCAAAATAGATCACTATACAGAGTCTTAAATATCTAAGATATACGTCATCTAGCAGATGATCAAATAAATCAAGTTTATATGAAAGTGAAAACACGATATCTCGTAAAAATAATTAATAGTTCCGCTAACCTTACAAAATGTGTCAATGTTATTGTTACACGTTGAATTAATCTCAAATGCAAAATGTGTATTATATAGTTACTAGCTCTTGACCTTAGAAGATATAGCAAAACGCGGGTATATAAGGGGTCATATAATTATAATTAATTTTATTGATAAATAATTGTATCATGCATAATCTACAATTCTACTTAATTTAAACAAGATGTTTATCTAAAAACGTCATTCCTTATTTATTTAAATAATTTAAAGGTAGGAAAAGAATAGCATAAAATACATAAGGGCCATTTGTTAAGGTATTTCGGGTTTACACTGAGTTTTAAAAACTTCCGTCTTTCAATGCGCAAACGCCGCTAATTAATACATCCGCCGGCGCCTGTATTGCGCCTTGGCTAACGTGAGATCATTCATCTTTACATGTAAGTTGAACGTTTTTACATTTTTATATGGATAAATGAACATGAAACATGAACAAAGTATCAATGTTTATAGTTCTAATTATAAAATACTTAAATGGCTGATAAGAATATAAATACATACCCATGGTACATAGGAGGAATTAAATAACGCCAACCATCTGGGAGCGTGTTTCGATTTACAATAGAGATTTTATAAAGCAGCCAGAAATTCAAAAATGTGGATACGTATATTATTACATACGTGCCACCAATTGGTTACTGAAATTGCCGAAAGCCAGCAATTGGCGGAAGTGGCACAGGACTCTCGTTTCGGAGGTCAAAACTCTATAATGATTTATATAGACCATAAATTATATTCAAACAGGCTGTTATGCTGAATAAAATGACCAGCAATGAACATGAAACAGCACAAGTGCATTGCCGTCATTTGTCACCGTATGATAAACGACACGTTATAGATTACATACAGTTAACTTGCAACAAAAACCTTACAGTTATCGTATGTTTGCGAAACATCGAATTGCCTGTTTAACCACACCCATTCCCTGGTCCCCGTCCTAGGGTGGTGTGGTTTTTTTTGGGGGCGGGGGGAAAGGGAAAACCAATAAAAAGGGGGAATGATTGATGCTTCGAAGATACTTTGAGTATTAAAACTAGCTAAATTTAGGTAAATTTGCTCAATTAATATTGTGTGGTTTGTTAATAGATTATTGTCCTCTTCCAAATGTTTATGCGCGTAAATGTTTGGATAGCAACAATTAAACATTTTTAAGAGATAGTTAAGAAATAAAGACTAATTTGAAATTATTTCAGACGTTACGATTACGTAGAAAACCTAATTAGTTAAATTATGTTTTGTCACGTTTTTGATAAGAATAATCTAAAGAGCTACTAGAAGCTACGTTTATAAGAGTGTCGTTGTGTTAAAACCATACTGCTAAGTCGTCACCGCGAATGATATAGAACGAGGAAGCATATTTTGTGCAAAGATTCCTTACAATGTTAAGTGTATTATGCCATGAACATTGAACGTATATCGCGTGAGATGTGAAGAATCAGCGCACCCGAAACGAATCCATGACTCACCGAATGAAAGTATTTCTAGACATGTATGCACACATCACCTATGTTTCTTACTGTATCGCGTGTTTTTTATTCAAATTATAATTCAATTCAATTATCGGTAAGTGTGGACAGTCCAATTGCAATTAGCAAATACCACACTATAACAATTACCTAATTCTAGTTAGCCAGAACACTTTTATTATCTCAAACGCAAAACGTGTAAAATTAAGCGTTGAAAAACAATGAACGAGTGGATAAATCTAGTTTATAACTTCACGTTTGTTTCACAAAACAAAGCCCTCTTATCGCTATCTTAGCCCATCCTTTATATCAACATTGCTCTGAGACTCGCCAATTACTTAAGAAAATACACATCTCTCTATGTACCTAATGTTAAATATGTAAAACGTAGTGTGTGTATGTTTATTACATTTCTAGTTGAAGCTATTTCACGTCAGAAAGTATTGTGTTTTAAAGGTGTATCTTTACTCAATAAAACTATAAAAACGGCATTCAATCAAAATTACATAATACAGGAAACATTAACCAACATTAATTAGAATAACCAGTTCCAATTCGGACATTTATTACGTTTGCGTAATTAATTTTAGCAATTAAACTGACCTTCGTTAAAATGTGTCAGTAGTAAACTACAGATAAACAATAGAGATTAAAACAGTATCTGAACGCCAGATGATTAATAGATTCATCAAACAAAGCAAAGGTTGCTGACTGATAAAATAGTAAATGCAAATGTTGTATAAAAAATATGAAGTTGACTACCAGTAGACTAGCTTATAAATCAAAGTAACCTTGATTTATAAGCTATTGACAAAAGCGTTCGTTCGTGTAAATCGTTTTAATTTTGGAAATGACTTCACTCTTCTAGACTAAATTTCTTCTTCTAAACTTTAGTTTCATTTATTGATTATTCCTTTACGAATGAAACTTCTTGGAATTAGTCATGATGTGCCTCGACTATCACAATATCTGTTCAAAATGGTTTGGAATCTTTGCTAATCATAAAGAATTTTTGTGTAAATGGATTTTAATGTGTGATATACTTTAATGTTCTTTTATTAACATAATCATGTAAAGACTAGTTAATTTAAAAAAAATCAGTGGCGCTACAACCTCTTTAGGTCTTGGCTCAGATGTCTGCATATGTTTCATGATCATTTTTAAATCTAATAGGCAAGTAGGTGATCAGCCTCCAGTGCCTGACACACGCCGTCGACTTTTTGGGTCTAAGACATTCGGTTTCCTCACGATGTTTTCCTTCACCGTTCGAGTAAATGTTAAATGCGCACATAGAAAGAAAGTCCATTGGTGCCCAGCCGGGGCCAACACTGCTCTTAATACTAGTTAATAACGCTACAATTTTTTTTATTAATCCCAACTTGGCTTTATTTAAAAAATATTACTTTGTTGTTGACTTGTTTACAGCGTCTCCTGTAACGTAAGGCCATTGAGGCCGTTAACGCGATATGACAGATTTTAGTACACTTGAATAATTTTATACGTTTAAATTCGCTAGAACTTTTTTTTATATTACTACTTAAACGAAATACAAATTATACAGAAACATTTTACAGTCAAAGTCCTGTTCGTGATTATCTAGATATTGTCCTTGTACTATAGCACTGTTGATCTGTTTAAACCTACTTATTTAGGTCACAATATGCCTGAATGATCCTTCTAACAAGGCTTTCTTAACGGAAAATCGTGACTAAGTAGGCATCCATATGTAAATTTACGCCTATAGTAACGTGTGGTCACGCGCTATTGGTATATACACAAATGCTGTGAAAGAGAAACGAAACAGGAACTTATTAAAGTGACCTGTGATTAATTATTAATAGAGTAAATTAACGCGTCAATACACTTTACGCTCAAATAATTATTCACCATTATACTGTACAGATTTGATTTTGGAGAATGGTGAATTTGTTCCCTACAGTACGGAGTTCCGACTTTAGCAACTTATGTAAAGTTATATAATATTCAATTAAGTCGCTATAATAGACTCCAGGAAGTTATGAATGAAACCTATTCTCTGTTCAGACTATATGAATATTTTACGAACCACAGTCAATCATGCTTAAGAAAGCACACAAAAATTAAACGGCTTTTGCTACCAATGTGAATAATTCGTGTCGTATCACAAAAACTTCAGCTTTATTGCTCCCCCTCAATTGCATTTTAAACTCAAGCGGATTTTTAAATTTGCATCACAATCGTCTTCGACCAATCATGAAAAAATATTGCAGTCTACAAAAGAATAGCAATTTAAAAATATTTCAGCAACAAGCTATCATATTTCGGGGTCAGCATTTTAATGAGTTTGCTATGATCTACTTTTTGACAGATTCGTTTCACAGAATAATGAGCATCAATCTGGAGCGATATAACTGCAAAGTTATTCTAAGAACTCCCGATTCGATCTAGCGTCAAAACGACTGATCAAAGCGGTTGACACTAAAATTACAAAGGTAAACGGAACGGGAGCTAACGAATCACGTTCACTCACAAAAAGCTGCGCTCAAATTAATTAATTTTGCGACAAAACTATATCAATGCTGTTGCTACCCCAGTTGAGTTCGACGAATGCAGTGATAATTATTAAAACCAGTTTGGCAAATTCGACAACGACGATTTAATGATCTTTGCACAAAGTAGACTCACAAGACTTTATTTATCTAGAGGATAACGATAAGAATAATCAGTAAGCATTTACAAGAAATATTTGATACGGCGTCAAGGTCATTAATGATGTAACTTTTGATTAAAGTTTTTTAACTATTCGGGTCGTAATGGTGACAAAATTTTATTGCCGCATACCCGACATACGGGCTCGACTCTAGTAACCTTTATAATTGAGCAAGATGACATCACGATAGCGAGAGACAATTTCAATTATTTCACAATATAAATGTAAACTGACCTTTCTTCGATTGCTTCTCACGCTCTTTTTCCTTTTCCCTCGCCTTCTTTTCTCTCTTCTCGCGCTCTTGTTTCTCTTTCTCCAATTTCTTCATCTCCTTCTTCATTTCCTTTTCATTTTTCTTCGATTTGGTGTCATCAATCTTCTCGGACAAAATGAATGCCCCCGTCTGGAGTTTTGTATCCACCTCCTCCTTCGGCCTCATCTTGGATCACGAGCACAAAACTCACACAAGGATAATGTAATTTTAGAAACGTTATCCCGTAAAATCACTTTCGATATCGGGACGCTAGATCGCCTTGAACAGTTCTCATTCGGCACAAATCGGCGGCGGACTGATAGTTTATCGTTTACGTGGAGCAGCCGGCCGCGATTGGCGGAACGATATCGTAATCACTGACACCTTCGAGCGTGCGAACCGCGACTGACAGCGTACAAAGTATACACAGCACCGACTCGAGCGAAGCCTCAGCGAGTACTGAGTAGTGAGTACAGACTCTGATCGCCGAATTCCGCCGGCAGCACTCCGACGAACGCTGCGCAAGCGACGCGTGCGAGCGTCAAACTTCTATAAATAAAGCTACTTCCTACATTTTATGGAATCAGAAGACGATTTATGGCCATTGAACCCTGAAACTTTTCGCATCGATATGACTAAGCTCAGATTCACATTCGCGGCTATACTTTTATTTACATTCGATGCCAAGGTCAAGCCGTAGCCAACATGCAAATGTTAAGTCTTATTAAAGTTTAATTGGTTAACAGGAAATAATGTTAAACGTCTGACACTTGAGAACACTTGCAGTTTTATATAAAAATCGGTATGCAACCCAATGTTGAAATAAAATAAAAAAGTTGTTTTGGAAAGTTGAGCGGTTACTACAAAAAGATAAACATGACCGGACCCAGCCTGGGAAGCAACCTTCGAGAGTCGAGACTACATTACGATTGAACAATACACGGTAAAATTTATGGGCTCAGAAGCAAATTGGCAATCGACTTATGTAAACAAAGCTATTTTCGATATAATAAAATATAAAAACAAGTGATTCGCTTACAATTTACAACCCACTTAAATGAGTTAAAAGTGAAATATTTTTGGTTAATTAGTCTCGATATTTTAGTATTACTAAACCAGATAGTTTTTATCGTAAGTACTAAATTTTATAAAATGTAGCTTATGAATAAATATGAGACCGACATTTCGTTGGTTTGTGCCAGGTTTAAATACTGAAAAACAAAGATGTTGCCGCGCCACCTAATTTATGTTAATAATAAATCAATTTATTTTACTAACTCACATATCTTTTAAGTATCAGTTTAATTTATCAGTCTGATAATCAAACACACATACTATACTATTGTATACGCACTGTTGTAACATATAACATAATGTTGTATACGCAAAATATACGTTACTATATCTAAACGCTGTCTTGCACTTTTCGCCGCAATGCCAATCACTCAAGCCTAAAACATTCTAAGTTAGGATTCACGATTGTAGTTTGAATAAAAGAGACAAAAAGTACTGTACAAAATGTCACCTCATCAGGGAAAGATAATCTAGATTCCATGAAAAAATAGTGCAACACCGAACAGGATTAAAAACACGCCCATTAGTCCACAAACATGGTTCAAAGTACGCAGCTAATGCGCTGTTCATGTCAAGTTTGTTCACCTAGTACGAGAACAAGACAAAAAGCGATATTTCCCAGAGGGCAGTGGAGCATAAAGAGACTTGCGGTCAATGATAGCTGTGTCTCAAACCGTGCCTTTAAGTGACTAGGCATTAGGACTTTGAACTCTGCTAAGAATATATCACGATCCAAAATTTAATTTTATTAATTATAGTAGAAACTGGAAAAAGTATGATTGGGACCTACTTCAAAACAGAAACCTTGGTGATTTAAAAGAGCAACGGAGAGTTTATTGCTAGTTCTTCTCGTCTGTTTTAGGCCATTGATTTGAGATATGACAGTAAATGTAAATTTTGAAGTATTAATTTTTTGTGTACATATTAAGTTTATTGTATGTGCATATTAAGATTATTCTACATGAATAAATTACATTTTGATTTGATTAAGAGGCAATGGCATTGCGGATCCTTTGGGTGCAACTTATTACTATATTATTAGTTATAAGATTTAGGTAGGCCTATATAAATATTTTTTTTTTGTTAATGTTTTTTATCTAGGTTAATTGGTGTGGGTATAAATATTGTGTCGTTCTATCGAATTAGTTATTACTGTAAAGATAGAATAAGGATATGGAATAAATAAAAAAATAAATAAATAAACTTAAACATCATATTATGTAACTAAGTAAGAAAGTATTAACGAAGTTTCTTGTGAAACTGTTGTAGCTTTGTCGTTATACTTCAACATATAGAACATTAGACACACTTATAAGTAGGCAGTCTAATGTTAAATGTAGTGAAAGGAAACTTGGAACTTAATCGATTGAGGAAATTACGAATTAAGTAAGAGATTAATGCATCAATTATATATTTATGAGAGTGTGCACCATAATACATGTACCTACTAGATATTTTTGGTGTAATAATAAAATACGCATTTAATGAGAAGACTTGTTTCAGTTTGTACTAAAAAAACTGTGTAAAGTTGAATTAAATTGTCCAAAAATTGATTATACGGTATTAGGGTGAAAGCGTAACAATCGAACCAAATCCCATTAATATCCCTTTAGAATATTCTAGATTAAACCGGTGAAACTAGTCAATGTGACTTACGTTAAGCTCTCATGACTTCCTGTAACTACAGGAACTGCAAGGTATATTTATTACTTAGAAATAGAAAGTTATAAAATCCATATACTTACTATATGTATGATAGCTTCCAATTACAAGTTATATAAACTTCTTAATTAGCAACTTCATAAGCGCCTTAATGAACCCAAAAGTAGGCGGGATATTAACCAAACAAAAGCCCTGATTATATCCAAACCACGAGTCGTAATTGCTCGACAATTGTTCTATATTTCATTTGTCAACATCTCTTTTTCATAGACAAAAACTACCACAGAAAAATAGTGAATAATGATACTACAATTTTAGTGTAAATTATTTATCTTAATATGAAGTCATGTTTTAATTGTTACACAGTCAACGTCAACTCCGTGGACTTGCCGGATCACCAATTTGACGTTTCTTGGTCATCGTATTTTTCAGTGATTACATTGCACCAGGTTTTGCGATGGAGTAGTATTAATTACGACTGCTCCCCGAACAGCCCCAGTGTTATCATCCCCATCTATGCATCTTACATCCCTTCTTAATAATGACAGAATTTATTTGGTGTAAAAACCTGTAGCGCACTTTAATAATTATATAACTTTTCTTGTACCTTTCACTGTTTACATAAGATTTAATTGCTTTTTGTCACAGTGGTTGCCTGGAAGAGATCGCTGAAAAGCGATAAGGCTGCCAGTTGCCCACCTTTTTACTTATTTATTTTAATTGTACTGTATTACTGCAACGAAGTATCAATAATTAAATAACTAAACACTTGCGCAATCGTAACATACAATCCACATTTGTGACGTAGATCACAAAGTCCGTCATTCGTTTCGTCAATTTAAGTTAAATAGTATACTTCAAATAATTAAAATATGTTAAAACAAGTATTAAAAAGTAAAAGCATATTTATTTCTGTATCAATTAATTCATAAGTAAGCTTTCTCATTTAAGTACGTGATATTGATCAATGGTCAGATAATTTCATCTCGTTTCCTCTCTGTTTTATGTGTGTATAATTGTACCAATATTAATTATTTTGTGAAAGTACGTAGGTAAAACAACATTCTTGGTATTAATGATAACGTGTATCGTTATTTAGTTAAATTTAAAATTAGCTTCGTCCTGTGGTACTAACCATTTACGTACATTAAAGTTATAAAACGATTTTATTAAGATAAAAAATAATGGTGATCATACTATAGTCCAAAATACTTCAGTATTAAATATTTCTATCATAAAGCTTGAAATGCTACTGGTTGTTGGGCGCAAAACTAAGTTAATACTTTGTCAAACTCATGATTGAGGGATAGCGGAATATAGAGTCGCAATTTATAAACAAAACACTCGCGTCGCGTTTTGCCCCCTTCATCGGATCTTCCATTTAAATAACTAAAATACTAAACTATCCTATACAAAAATGCTACACTTTCACATAAAGTAAGTAAACCTGAAAAGTTATTTTTAAATCATCATAAATGTGCTTCCCAACCTCAAAACACTTGAAACGCCAGTAAGCAAATATCTTTATTATTAAAAGCTTCAGTAAGGTGAAACATCTCAGCAAACAGGTGCTAAGAATCATTTATTTTACTAAGGCGTCAAAATTTTCGCAAAGCAATTTCATAAGCGCCTGTTCATAATAGAACTTACTATTTTACAACTTTATACTATTTATATGTAATTACAAATATTGCTTTTACACATAAAATTTTACATATTATAATTATATACTAAGTTATTCTCTGATATAACTAGTAATCAAAAGTATATTTGAGAAAAGAAATAAATTTCGATTTACAATTCCATTTAGAAATATTTACATAATACACTAAATATGTAATTGTAATACTGAAAGTTTGCGACATACCTATATGTATGTATATTGTATATACTTATGTCATTCGTGGTGTATGTGTTCAGAAACAAAACATGATCGTGAAAATTGTTTACGGATACAATTTTAAGATATAGTGAGAATTAGAAGTGAGATCTGAGACCCCCGTTCGGGAGTCCTAGTTCGCGTAGTCTCACAACAAAGGATTTCTAAACATCTAGCTTATTTTTTGTATTAATGGTGAGGTTTTTAGATACTTAAAGTTTGTCACTCATCAAATAATATATTAAACAAGACCACATGAAGAAGATACATATTTATTACAAACAAAGGGTTTGATAGAAAAATCGGTATGAGCACACTCTTATAACCTTTCAGACATTGTTTAAAGACGAACCCTTCTTGACACATGCGTCAAGTCACACGGTTTATTTGCAAGTCAAATAACTTCAGTGCACTGTCAATAAATACTACACACAGATGCACAATGTACGTTAGCGACACGACCCGTATTTCCACTGGGGTTTTAGAGATACTAAACTCAAACAATTATGGTTTTCCTGTAAATCGATCGATTAGCACCAAACGCATTAAAAACCCCAATTATATCTCCCAC